CCATCAACAAAATGTAAAATAACAAAGAGAAAACACCCACTCTGGATGCAAAGGACAGAGGTAGTATGTTCAAAATTTCTTATGCTAACATATGCAATTAAATCTATAGGAGAAAAACACGCTATGAACCTTATGAATCTAAAATAAGAGAAACAATTGAATAGCATGAGGATGAACTTTATGAATCTAAAACAAGAGAAATAATTGAATAGCACGATCAACGTACCCATGCCAATCTCTAGGGTTCCTTCTTCCATGTTGGAATTTTTCTGTTCCATACCCATCTTCAACCTGATTAAGCGCTCACGTATTCTAACCAAAATATAATATAATAGTAAAAGTGGCTTCCTCATCAATAAAGTAACCTTACAAAGCTAACAGAAACTATAATGCAAGCTACAGTATAAGAGTTAAAACTTAAAATTGTATAGTTATTCGAATGTTTGATCAAAGGTCATTTCCCAACATACATAAATCTATATCAGAAAAAAAAAAAAACTCAGTAAGAAGAAGTTTTATAACTGGCCTCAGACGAACACCCTCTGGTGATTTAGAGGTGGGGGTTTTACTTTGGATCCGGATCGTTAGCCAAGTAATCACAAGTTCCGGGAATCAATACAAGAATACGGTGCCAATTAAAGTTAAAGATCAAGTTCAAGACAATTTAGCCCTAGAAAACTCAAACAATTTCGACTTTTCTCGGGTGAGGAAAGAGCTACGATGAGATTAACACTAAATTTTATTCAAAACTTCGATTAGAATCATATATCATTACTCGATCAGCATTAGATCGAATGAACAGAAACCCTCCAATTGATCCGAATGACCATTCGGATTGGAAAAAAATTATCAGACACGAATCCAATTGAAAAAAATGCTTTGTCGACTGAATGGTTCAGTGATGAATAAGAAGAATCAAATTTGAAACAAAATCAAGAAGAGGTCTGGGGAAGGAAGTTACCTTTGATCTCTGAAGGAGAGATGTACAGCGAGAGACGACGTATAGAGGGAGATCTGATAGATAGGGGAAAAGATGAACAATAATAGGTAGGGGACGGCGGCAGGCATGGGTTCCCAGCAGTGGGCAAGTGTGAGTGTTTGACTGATAGCGTGGGTTCCCGGCGGTGCGAATGCAATGGGTTCCCAGTGGCAGTCGTGGGTTGCAGCACAACTGCACAGGGCCGGTGATGCTGAACGGTTGATGCCTGAGAGTTGCTTGAGCTTGAGCTATGGCTGGCGAGCAGGCGAACAGGCGAAGGAGACAGCATTGAGCTTGAGCTAGGACTGGCGACCAGTGCTCGACTGCTATCACTGACGCTGCCATCAATGAAGGTGGTTGCTTGGGCGGCGAGTCACTATCCCACTGAGACTCTGAGAGAAGAGAGATAGAGGTAAGAGGAAAGATGAGATGAGCGACGAGACAACGACATCCAACAAAAGGTTGGTGGTTGCTTGGATGATGAAAGGTGGTGACTGGTGATGGACCGATGGTGGTTGCTCGGGCGGCGTCTGGCGACAACAAAGGGAGTGACGAAGGGTTAGGGTTTTACTTTAGGGTTTTGAGAAGTAATAATGGTGAGGTTCGAGAGTTCAATTTTGAGAATCTGAGATTTTCGAACTCAATAATTAGTTATTTTTCATTTTAATTTTTAACCTTTATATTATATATAATATTATATATATATATATATATATATATATATATAATATATAATTAATTCAAATATTTACCAGATCAGATCAATGTATATCTGAATTCGACCGAATATTTGATTCGAATTCGATTCAATTATACCAAATCTCGGATTCAAATTCAGATTTTTGAATACCGTTTACAGGCCTAATTACATGGTTTTAAAATCGCCATTGACCTATTGAATTGTTTGACCTAGGAACCAATCAATTGTTAGATTCCATTTTATACTTGGCCTGAAAATTATGGCACTGCAAATGATTTGGGTGCAAAATCTGATTTATTTTTGTTTCAAAATTTACCTTATTTTGCTTGATTACAATACAAATAAAATACAATAAGACTAGAATAAATTAAAAGAGAAAACAAAGGTAAACCAGAATTTGCATTCTTTTCGGTTGCACTCCCATGCATTTGTACTAGTGCAAATAAAATTGTAGTGCAACCAAACACAAGGTTTTGCACTTTAGTACTCATTCCAAAGCAAAATAAATGTAGTAAACTAAGACATGGAGTAGAATAAAGTAAAATCCAAAGCAAAATAAACGAGGATTTGTATTTTTTACATTTGCACTCCCATGCAGTTCTACTAGTGCTAAAATTTCATTACAACCAAACACAACAAGGACACATGTGAAATCCCTTCAATTGAGGAAAATAATTTTTGTCCTCTTTTAATTAGGGAAAATTCCCGATTAGTACCATGTACTTTGGGCCTAGTGCCATTTTGGTCACCGAACTTTAAAGTGCAACAATTTAGTACCTGAACTTTCAAAACGTGTCAATCCAATACTTGTCGTTAATCAATCGCTAACCAGCCGTTAAGTGGCATTTGAAAAGACACAAATGCCCTTTGAGTGTAATATAATTTTTTTTATTAATCATCCAAATGTTGACAAAAAATGAATAGTCACAAATCCTTTTCTCTTATATTCAAGAAAGTTGGGGTCATGTCTCAATAGCATTCTGGTGACACCAACTTTCTTAAATAGAAAATGCAAGGATTTGGGGCTATTCATTTTTTGTCAACATTTGGATGATTAATAAAGAAAATTATATTACACTCAAAGGGCATTTGTGTATTTTCAAATGCCACTTAACGATTGGTTAGCAATTGGCTAACGGTAGGTACTAAATTGGCATGCTTTGAAAGTTCAGGTACTGAATTGTCACATTTTAAAGTTTGGGGACCAAAGTGACATTAGGTCCAAAGTACAAGGTACTAGTCGGGAACTTTCCCTTTAGGCCCCTTTTGCTTTTCGGTAAGTTACTTACCCGGGTAAATGCAGTTACTTGGGTAAGTTTTTCCTAGGAAACACTTACCCGGGTAAGTGCATTTACCCATGTTCTTTTATTTCTCATGTAAATAAGGCAATGATTATTTTAACCATAAAAATCCATTATTAAAAAGGGCATTTTTGTCCCATTCAAGTGTTGGCAACTTTCCCCTTAGGTGAGAAAGTTATTTACCCACCTAGGAGATGGGTATCACTTACTTAACCAGGAAAATAAATTTTTCCTAATCCCCACATAAATCTGAAAAAAAAGCACATGATTCTTGGTCAATGAGAACTTCCCCCCTCTCAAACTCCGAAAAAAGAACGCCCCTTAATTTAATGATTCTCTATCCTTTCTAGATTGACAAGGCCCTTTTAGTCTGAGGATAGCAAGGTGCACATGAGATCCACTGACTATACCACAGAGGGCCTGCAATTACATGGGTTTGATCATGCACCTATATTTTAGAAAGGATGCCAGGTGACTAACTCAGCTAGGGGTGTCAATTAGACTAGATTTGGTCCAATCAGATCCAGTCTAATGTGAGACTATTATAAATGGACCAGGTCCAATCCAATCCAATGAATGTTTTGGACCGGTCCAATTCAATGTCTGGACCGTCCAATCTGTTCAAATTTATTTTGATTTAGATTGGTTTCAACCTAAACTTGGTCCATTAACGCATATATTCTTATCTTATATCAATGGACCAGATATTGGCTTAATCCAACCCAATCCAATATAAATTTGTTATGGATGGACCAGGTCCAATCCAATCTAATAAATATTTTAGACTGGATTGGTCCAATCCAATATGGCTTGTTGGTCCATTCAATCCGTCCAAATTGATTTTGGACCGGATGGGGTCCAATCCAAAACCGATCCATTGACACCTTTAATCTCAGCTCGTGGGCTTGCTATTGGCTTATGTGTATAAACCATGATTTTTAAAACTAGATCGAAAATAGAACTGTTTTGGCCACTAAGCTAGTTCCTGAGTCAATTGGTCTGACCATCTGATCCAAACCTGGGTCGATGATTTTAGGTCCAAAACTAGACCTGGACCTATGATTGATTCATTGGTCAAACAGCCCAACCATCCGGTCCGGTCCAGTTTTCAAAACCATAGTACAGACAATAGTGTATTGCTCTTCACCCATAGGACTAATTTCAGTTTAAAAGCCATTTTCCACTTGTTCTATATAAAGCCCTAATATGAACATATTAAAATATAATTAAAACCATAACAAAGCTAATATCACAACAAGAGAAATCCAATACAAAGCATGTTACAACAAGGGCATGGTCTGAAAGACCGAACCTGTGGCTAAATCTGGAGAAGCCTGAACAACTTGCAAGGAGAAGGCTACTTCTGATGGGGGAAATACATGGTATCGAATGAGATTTGAGCAATCAAAACACCCTATGAAAATGAATACCAAACAAATCAAAACACCCTATGAAAATGAATACCACCTGTTTGGTCACTATTTTGATGATGTCTTACCGCGGTACCATACTTGAACCCTAAATTAAATTCACTTTTCGAGTGTTTGGTTTCTTAGTCGTTTATTCAATAAATGTGCTACATAATCATTGGTTTCTTTCTCTTGTGCTTTTTTCTAGGCATGGAAAATGATAAAAGTGGACTTTGATTTTGTGTACACTAATTATTTGTGGAAGTTATTTTTAAAGCCGTTAGACATTTTTTCACTATTTTACCAGCAAATAAATTACAAACGTCGAATGAAAAAATATAAACAGAATCAAACACATAATTTATAAGATGGGTATATTTTTAATTATTTTGGTTAGAGCGCCTTCAACATTTATACAACAAAAAAAAATCAAAACTAATAATATTTTGGAATTACGGATGCTTCTATTACTCGTAAAAAAAAAAAAAAAGTTTTACACCATAAATGGCACCCAGCTTATGGGCTGGGCCAAATGCCTTGTCATTTTTGTGTACCCACCCACAATATATGTGACCCATTATTACACCACCAACCAACTAACCAAAATCAAATCACAGAAGAGCAGATAGATCGTTCGAGAGAGAAAGTGTGTCAGTGTAAGTATCCCTTCCAGGCTCCAGCCTCCTACTTAACAAAAGCAAGTGCAAGTACCCACTCTTGCATTTCTTTCGTTCTTCCCGTTTTCTTTTGTTTCTCATCTCAGGTCTCAACCTACGTCCTACACCCAAGACCCCAGATGGAGAGCTTCAACTTGCTGCTCATCTCTCTCATCGTCCTTGTTCCTTCCGTTGTCTGTGCTTCTTCTTACAAAATTCCGGCCATATACACGTTTGGAGACTCCATCTTAGACGCTGGAAACAACCGTTTCAATAAGAACTGCAGCGCTCAAGCTGATTTCCCCCCTTATGGCTCCAGTTTCTTCCACCAACCCACTGGAAGATTCACCAATGGTAGAACTGTCGTCGACTTTCTCTGTAAGTACCTTCGTCGTCTTCTCTTTTTAAGTTTCGACCCCACTTCTTCTTGGTATTCATTTGCATCATCCTCTCTGATGGAGTTGAATCGAATGCTGATAAACAAATGCAGCTCAGTTCCTTGGTATTGATATCCAAGAACCGTACCTGGAGGCAGAAATGGGAGTTGCTAATGGCAGTCGAAAGGCTTATCCGTCCAACGGCATCAACTTTGCCAGTGGCGGAAGTGGTGTTTTGCCGCAAACTAACAAGGATTTGGTAGGCCATATATCTTTGTTCCACAATCCAATATTAATTCTTTTTCCAACACTCTTTTACGTCTGTTTAGAACTCGATCGACCAGCTTTCGCCGAAACGATTTACCGTCGGCCTGTCAAACTCCCCGACCATACGGAAACTTGAATAGAGAACACATCGTGGTTCGTGCATGGCATTAAGTAGTGAGAGAACCAAATGCATGAAATTTCCACTCGTAGCAAATGTAGCATTCAATGCAGCTTTTACCCGGTTCTGGCTGGCAATAGCATATGGGGATCTCTGCTGCACTTAAATTCAGTGTGTGACTGGTGTCCCATTACATTAGTTTCACTTACACGGTTACACCCCAGATCCAGGGCGTTTGGATCTGGGGTGTCTTATTTATTTTAAAAAAAAATGTAATCATAAAGATGGTCGAGAGCGGTTTCAATGGGACGGATATCCTTCCAATCCAATCCGATCCATTATGGATCCAATCTGTTCAGAATACATTCCAATCCAATCCGACTCCAAAAGAATATAATCATAATCAAATCCTATCTGTTGAATCGTTGGACATTTGGTGAATCCAATTTTTGATTAAATATTTAGTCTTAAGTTCAAATCCAATCCGATTAATTTGATGGACGTTTAATCCACTTTAATTGGATTGGTTCATATATCTTCTTTGAGTCATACTACTTCAACATACAAGCACAAAAAATAAAAATTAATAATTGCCTGAAAGCTTCATCTCTTATTAGGGTCAGCATCTGGTAAGTACATTGCGTGACTCAGACCTGTTCATGGGCCGGGTAGCCTGATGGGCCGGCCCGGCCCAGCCCGATCTAAGTCGGGTTTGAACAAGATTTTAGGCTCGCAGGTTCGCGCTTGGGCCTAAAATATCAGGCTTGACATTTTTTTGGGCCGGGCTCAGGCATTCTCAAGTAATAATGAGACTTTTCATTATTTTTTTAGGTTTTGAGATATTTTAGTATAAATAAAATAGCTTTTAATTGAATTTGAAAGGAAAGAAAATATTTTTGTTCAAATTTTTACCCAGGCTCGGGTTTGGGCCCGGGCTTCAGGCTTTATATGAGAGTCGGACTCGGGCTCAAGACCTAGGCCCAATTACCAGGCCAGGCTCGGGCTTAGGCCTGAACATATTCTGTTAATTTAGAGGCAAAGCCCGGTCTGTGAACAAGTCTTGAGCATACTTAATAATAATTCCACATTTTTTTACACCTGTCCAATAAAAGCCCAATTTACTCTTGAAATGATTCAAAAGTAACTTCTAAGACAATTATCAAAATATTTATTAATTGCTTACTAATCAGGTCACAATGGTATATGCCTACTAGCCAAATTTGTGAATCATGGCCTTCAATGCATTGGGGTGTGACCTTATCACAAGGTCACTTCATTTAATTCAAGGCAGGGCAACAACATTACATCAAAGGCTTTGATTTCATGGCATATGGTGGCAAGAGTGGTTTTATCTTTTTAATCACCGTGGACATTTTGCTGAGTTTGGAACCATCTGTATTGGACATTTGGACTTAGCAAATATTTAGCCATTTTACTATTATAATAAATAAATAAATAAATAAATAAATAAATAAATAAATAAATAAATAAATAAAGGGTCATTTACTAAAACACCCCCTATATTTTGCAATCAATTTGTTTAATTGACTTTCCATCAGATGATAGTGAAAAATGACAGTTTTGACCCTAATGTGTATTTGAATAGATTTAATAAAAAGAATATAAAAATAAAAATTCCATTTTTGTCCTTAGTAAGACATGAAAAACCACTCTATTTGACTCTATTTGGTCAATTGTCTTTTTTATATGAAGAAGTGTTGGGGGTAATTTTAGAAAAAATAATTATGAGCCCATGCCTTTAGAACAGTTCACTTAGTGTAGGTGATTATGTTACTATTTTCAGATGAAAAAACAAACAGTTCTTAGTGTAAAGTCGAGTAAGTAATAATTGCTAACTATAGGGAGTGTTTTTGTAAAATAAAAACAATAGGATGGGTTTAAGAAAAACTGTGAAACTACATGGGGTGTTCTAATAAATGACTCATAAATAAATAAATAATTATATGAAACTTCCAGTTCTTTGACTTGACTGATGTGTCTTGTTGCTTGGTATTGTTCTTTAGTGTTTTTGGGTAGGGTGGAGTGGTTAAGGAAGATTTTTCTTGTTTTGGTTTTTGAGAGTTGGGGAAAAGTGGTTGTCCTCCCCTGTATCTTTATTCTTCCTTTTAATGTTGAATAATTAATAAAATTTTAAGATAACCGCCCCTCCACCTAGAGTAAAGTTTGGGGTTAACCCACAACTCCACAAGAATCTGCAGACTAGACCAGGACATCTTTGATTAATGAATCATGGATACCGACCAACCCATTAAAATTAAGTGGGCAGAGACCAAGAAAAGAGGATCATTTGGTTCAACGCCTCCTTGTTACTCTTCCTCTCCGTACCTAGATGTTTTCAATAGACCACAAAGAAGGACCGAGGATTCGGAGGTGCAGAGGCCATTAGTTTTTCCTGCCATGTAGTTGCTCCATTGAATGCTTGCTTCAAGGAGGTAGGCCTTTGGTGCTATTCCTGTAATAAATGGCTGTCCTCTCTGAATCTACTGTGAATGCTTTCTAAGTGTCATTTTCATTTCTTTGAACTTTGATCCTGTTCCACCTTATGTGTGGTGCAGGGGGTAATTCCTATCCAAGATCAGGTACAACAGTTCCAGACATTAGTGAATGAAAACAAACTTGATAAGAAACTTGTTCAAAAATCACTCTTCCTCTTTGAGTCGGGGAGCAATGACATCTTCAACTACTATAACCCATTCACTGGACCTACAAATCTTGATCCTGAAGCCTATGTGCAAGCTATGCTGACACAAGTCAAACAGTTCATTGATCAAATTTACAGTCTTGGTGCTCGACGAATTGTCATCATCGCTCTAGGACCTGTTGGCTGTGTTCCGGCGAGGATGCTGCTGCCTGGAGGGCGGACTGATCGATGCTTCGGCAGGATAAACCATATAGTTAAGAAATACAATGCCGGCCTGGAAGGCTTGGTTAAGGACACGCCTATCACACACCCTGGTGCAATTGGTGTTTATGGAGAAGTATATAAAGCTGTTCAGGAATTTCGCTCAATGCCCAAGCGTTATGGTAAGGTTGTTTTGATCAGTGTTTTCAAACCGTAGTTGACCCGGATGATTGAACTGTCACCTGGTTTCAATTTCAGTTGGGTTACCCAAACCCGGGAATTGGTCAAAACCGTTGATCTGGCAGTTGAATCATCAACCTCGTTTGATCCAGATAATGGATCATGGGTTACAAATTATTATATACATATATATAATACATAAAAACATGGTTGCGCTATAATTATATATTATATTAGGAAAAAACTGTTCAACCTCTGAATTGGTTTTTAAAACATTGTTTTTAATTGTTTCGTTCGAACAGGGCATGAACATTATCTGTGATATACTTGGCTTATTGGTTTCTGCCTTTTTTTATAGGATTTTTTAACATTACTGGTGCTTGTTGTGGCGATGGAACTCTTCGAGGGTTGGTGCAATGTGGAAAGGACAGTTATAAAGTGTGTGAAAACCCTAATCAGTTCTTGTTTTGGGATTTCTTCCATCCATCAGAGCATACTTATGAACTTGTCAGTAAGGCTTTATGGGCTGGGAAGCAGTCGCGGGTCAGGCCTATCAATTTGAGGACACTGGCTAGCATCAGTGTTTAGTTCATCCTCAGCTGAAGGGGGTGACTGCAACCATTAGTGTATCTTAAAACAGTGAATAATTCATAATTTCTTATCCTAGTAGAATAAGCAGTTTAATTAGTTTCTTATATAAGGCTTGTTTCGTCATGTAATGAAGACTATCATGTAGATAGCCATGTTCACCCCAATGTAGAAAGGAGGTATCTGTTAATGAAGTTAATATAATTAGGCTCTGTTCATTTTTGATAAGTTATTTATCCGGGTAAATGCAATTACTTATGTAAATTTTTTCTAGGAAACACTTACTCAGGTAAGTGTATTTGTCCATGTTCTTTTATTTCTCACGTAAATAAGGCAATGACCATTTTAGACATAAAAAATCCATTATTAAAAGGGGCATTTTTGTTCCATCAAGTGTTGGCAACTTTCCCCCTATGTGGGAAAGTTATTTACTCATTTAGGAGATGGGTATCACTTTCCTGGGTAAATGATACCCATTAATTTGAAAAATGAACATGGGGTTCTTGGTCAATGGGAACCAAAATCCCATTGACCAACTTTCCCCCCTCTTCAAATCCAAAAAAAGAACGCCCCCTTGGAATAAATCCATACTCTCTCTCGAAACAGCAGAGGAAAATAGTTTCAACTAATTCCTAGACTTTTCCACCTTTTAAAATAGAAACTGATTAATGCAATTGCATATTTGCATTTCCTCTTTCTTGTTGGTTGTTGGAGTAAAGAGCTACATGTCAATACATGGGTGGATATATATATATATATATATATATATATTATTTTACTTAGCTAGTTCATGTTTTGCCTTCCTTTGTTTTTTTTCCCTTCTCTGATTAGGGGTAGGGGTGTCAATTGGACTGGATTTGGTCCAATACAATCCAGTACCATTTTGGACCGGTCCAATTCTATGTCTGAACCATCCAATCTATTCAAATTTATTTTAATTTAGATCGGTTCTAACCCAAATCTGGTCTATTGACATCAATGGATAAGATATTGGCTCAGTCCAACATAATTTCATTAAGTATGGCCAAGTCATATCCAGTCTAATAAATATTTTGGACTATTAAATCTAGACTTGCCCAATTCAATTTGTCTTGTTGGTCCATCCAATCCGTCCAAATTGATTTTAGTTTGGATGGGGTCCAACCCAAAACCGATGCATTGACATCCCTAATTAGGGGTGCTGCACCACTATAGCCCATGCCCACAGAGGTAGCATTTCTTCAGCTCAAAAACTTAGGAAAAAAACTGACAAACGGGAGAAAAAACAGTCATGCTATATGTCAATCCAGCAAGGATTGATGCTTGCTGGGAGTTGGGAGGTGGGTTTGGTTGACAAGGCAAATTCACTGAGAGTAGGGGGTGTCAATGGATCAGTTTTGGGTTGAATCCTGTCTAAATCAAAATCAATTTAGACAGACTGGACGGAGCAATAAGACATATTGAATTGGATTAATCCGGACTTAATGGTTCAAAGTATTTATTGGATTGGATTGGACCTGGTCCATCCATAATAGATTTATATTGCATTGGGTTGGATTGAATCAATATCTGGTCCATTGATTGAGGAACGGACCAGGTTTGGATTGAAACCAATCTAAATTAAAACAAAATTGAATAGATTGGACAGTCCAGACATTGAATTAGACTGGTCCAAAATGGTTCAGTGTATTCATCAGGTTGGATTGAACCTGGTCCATTTGTAATGGACTCATATTGGACTGAATCAGATTAGACAAAATTCAGTCCAATTGACACCCTAACTGAGAGAATACAATCATCAAGAAAGGCCAAATAAGCTTTTATGTCAAATACAAAGAAACAAAAAGATGATCTAGTCCCCAGAAAAGCAGGCCAATCTGATGAAGCAAGAAACACATAAATTTGAGCATTGGAAGAGGATGACTCATGAGTCAACTCATGAGGCCGAACATTTGAAATGCCCCAGGCCAACCATAACGGAGAAGTGAGAGATTGATTGGTTGTGGGTTCCATGTATTTTATAAATAACATTAAGCACTGATTTCACAGCCCATTAAGCAGCCATTGCATTCAATTAATCCAATCTCCAATGAAGAGGGATGCCTAGGGGTGTCAGTTGGACTGGATTTGGTCCAATCTGGTCCAGTCTAATGTGAGTCCATTACAAATGAACCTGGTCTAATCCAGTCCAATGAATATTTTGGATCATTTTGGACTGGTCCAGAGACTGTCCAATCTGTTTAAATTCCTGTTAATTTAAATTGGTTTCAGCTCAAACTTGGTCCATTGACACCTATGTTCTTATCTTTTATCAATGGACCAGATATTGGCTCAATCCAATATAAATTCATTATGGACAGACCAGGTCCAATCCAATATATCATATTGGTCCATCCAGTTCATCCAAATTCAATATATTTTATTAGTCCGTCCAATCTGTCCAAATGAATTTTGACTTGAACGGAATCCAACCCAAAACCGGTCCATTGACACCCTTACGGATGCCTTCTTCCAACAGAGAGAAAGTATCTCAACAAGTGAATCTCCCTCAAAAAAAGAATGAACGTGATGAATCCCAACTCCGTAGCCAATTTAAATTGGGTCCAATGAAGATTGTTTACTTTAACAAAATAAACAAAATCATGAAGGTTCCAAGATGGGCCAAAATCGAGGTTGGTTCAGCAAAATACCAGCCCATGAAACAGCTATAACCCATCGTGGCAAAGCCCAAGATTCCAATAGGCCCAGAAGGACAAACAATTATGGGCCAAAAAATACGTGATAGTAATTCAAGGTGACATAGTTTCCCAATTAATTACCTTCATCCATGTCATTAACCTGGATTTAAGAAATATTTGCTTAATTGATTTTGTTAAACGAAAGTATGACTTTTACCTATTTCTCAAAAATTGCTTTTGGGGGTTCTTTACAACTTAATTAATCATTTAACTTACTTAAATGATTAAATTAAATAAAATAAGAACAATTTTGATTGAACTGTTAAGGCCATTACTTGATGGTAAAATCTCGGACTGATTAGTGTGAGATCGTGAATTCAAATTTGAAAACAGCCACTTTGTGCAATTATAAAATGCGAAATGTGAAGTTCACATCCAGTCCACCCCTCCCATGACCTTAGATATACCACAGACCAACAAATCCACCTCACCCATGATCCAGAAACCTGCAACCAACATTGGCTAACAGCCAATTTACTGATTTCTTTTGCCAATCAGACTGGGGATTTCAATGAAGCAGCAAGTATATTCCATTTGTTTTGTCACAATTCATGCCGATTATAATATATTGGGTCATATTTTAATTATTTATCAAGGATCAAAATATAGATATGATATGTCAGTAGCGATGCACCTAATTATGCATGGATACACTGATAGAAACATATTTTAAAGCATTTAAGACCTTGGGATGAGATAAGGCATCCATCTAATCATTATAAAATAAAACAATAAAAATATAGAACAACAGTCGTATCAATACGCACCAATAGGGATGTTAATGGACCGGATATTGGTCCAATCCAACCTGGTCCAATATGACTCCATTACAGATGGAATAGGTCCAATCTAATTTGATAAATATTTTGGACTGGACCAGTCCAATTCAATGTCTTATTTGATCATCCAATCTAATTTGATAAAGCACTTAGCTTGATAGAAGTGGCAAATCTATATCCATAGCATACTACTCTAAAAAATTAGGAATAAGCCTTGAGTTTTTGAACTATTTCTTTTTTAAATACCCTTACTTTTTAATTTCTCCCTCTCTTTTGTAAAGTTAAGGCTGTACACATGTCAGTTCAGTTTGGTTAGATATTGATGGTGTGCAATCCGGTCGGTCTTATCTGTCGGTTACCTCGCCTTTGACGGAGTTGAGGGTGCCTGAAACAAGGAAGAAATTGGAGACTTCCAGGGAGGAACCCAGTTGCCTGAAACAAGGCAAGGGGAATGAGGGCCTTCAAGACCAGAAAGCACAAGAATCACATACCTCATTATTTGGGGGAAGGGGGCCTTTTATAATCACCCTGGTACACTCACTCCCATACCTCTGCCAGATCGGGCTTCATCACCTCTGCCAGACGCCAGTTCGGGTGTCATAACCTTCACTGTCTTCCTTGTCAGAGCCGTCTTTGCCACGTCTGAGATGGCAGTGGCAGGTGGCCGTTGGAGGGCGGTTGTCATGTGTCAGACCCCTAATCAATCAGGCGCGCCACCTCCGTGTATGGGCTTCCTGGGCATCAGATATGGTTGATCAGTCAGGCGACTTGGAGCCGAAGTGGTGTGCGAGGTGAAGTCTTGAGTTCGGATAGAAGTGTGGCCCAAACTGCCCCGGGGTGGGTCAGCTCGGGTTTTTGCCTTTTGTGCTCCTTGTAAGGCTCAAGACCTCCAAGGGAGAGCTTAGGTTCTTCCTTGGGGAGCTTGGGTCGTGGGTTCCTTTTTTGGGGTAGCTCGGGACTCCTTTTCTTGGAGCTCGGGTTGTGGGCCCGCTGCTGTGCCGAGCTGACGCTTCTGCCAGGTCACTCTCGATTGCTTTCCACGTATCGCGTGGCTAAGGGGTCGGGCCAAATCTCCCTCCATCAATTGCCCCCCACTCCCCGTGCCCGGGGTCCTGACTTGGTGTGGGGAGTTCACGGGATGACGGGTGGATTTGCCTCGTGACGCTTTGGCCTTGGTTTGGAGCTTCTTTGGTCTGACCTGCTTGTGTTTTTGGTCCGATCAGGGTCAGCTTGGTTTGACCAGGGGTCAATCCCGGGTTGCGTGCAGCTCACGTGCGGAAGCCAAACATTTTTTAAATTTTTGAACGTTGAAAATGTGCGCAAAAACTAACTTCTCCTCGAGGGGCGTGCAACCGGTTTTGCGAGGTGCCGTTGGATGGTTTTGATCTTGGCCGTTAATGCGCGAGTACAGTGGCTATAAATAGTGGGGGGCCCTGGTCACTTTCCTTTGCCATTCCTCAGCATTCGTTCCTTGAGCTCGTGTCATTCTTCGTAGTCCGGTAGCTTTTCCCCGGTGAGTCCTCAGCTTTCTTTTTGATTCAATGTCTAGCTCGGGTAGTTTTGATAGTCTTTTGGGGGGTCAGATGCTGGTTCTACAAACCGAGCTACTGCGCCTGACAGCCTTAGTGAGTCCGAGGCGGGGCCCGAGGTAGAGCTCGAGTTCGAGCTCGCAGGCCGAGTTACCTCGGGTAGCTTGGCATCCACCTCCCATCGAGGTCGGGTACCAGATAAG